CGGGCCGCGCTTTGGGGCTGCCCCGCTCCGAGCCCCCTGCGGAACCGCCCCTGAGCTGCCCGGCGTCACGTTTGCAGGATTTGAGGCAAATTCCGGCACTCGGGGGCTCTGGGTGGAGACTGATGCCGCAGCGCCGGTTGTGGCCGGACTGAAGATACCGGGGATGGGGGGGGGCAAGGGGAGTTCGGCATGAAGTTCTCGGTGGCTGGCAAACGTCAGGCTGAAGGTGGTGTCACAGCCGTTTTCTCTGATTAACTTCTCCGCAGAAAAGTGGTGACTATCGCCAAGTCGAAGAAGTTTCGGGATCATCACGGGAAGGTCCTGCTGGAGGGCCAGAGGCTGATCAAGGATGCCCTGGAGGCAGGAGCTGCGCTGCAGACTCTCTTCTTCAGCACTGTGGGGCACCTGAAGGAGCTGCCCGAGGCAGAGCTAAAGCGAGCCAGCTTAGTTAAGGTGAAATTTGAAGACATTAAGAACTGGTCTGACCTCGTAACTCCTCAGGGGCTTATAGGTAAGTTGCCTTAGAAACGGTCACAACACTGCTCAAAGGGAAACTTCACTCTTAGTAAGTGAATAATGACTCTTCATAACCTTACCCTGGACGCTCTGGCGGGGTGTCAAGAGTGGCATAATTTGAGAGAATTCCCTTTTATTTGGCTTGCTGTGGTAACTCTGAAAGTGGGTCCCAGAGTACCCTGAAGGTGATAATGCTCATTTTTAATAGCACCTCGCTCCAGCTCCGCTGGGAAATAGTTCTTCTTGTCAAGTGACAAACTCTTCTCAAACTTCTCTTAAGCAGTGCTTTTCCTAACGCTTTCTCCGGCACCTCTTGAGTGAAATTTGGGCCAACTAAATGAGAGACAGCCCTCTCCTTGGGGCACATTAGTCAGAAGCCTTCAGCACTTTTGTCTCCTCAGGGATCTTTTCCAAGCCTGACCATGCCAAGATGTCTTACCCTGCCGCTCAGCTCACCAGCTCCTTGCCACTACTCCTCATCTGCGACAATATCCGAGATCCAGGAAACCTGGGGACTATTCTGAGATCTGCAGCAGGGGCTGGCTGTGAGAAAGTGCTGCTCACCAAAGGTAAGAGCCTTTCCCTGGGGAAAAAAGTTTACTTTGAGTAATTTGGGACTAAGGCGGGGAATAAGAGGTGCTTGAAGATGTTGTTCCCAAGAGTTTGTAAGCAGTGCCCGGCCCAGACATGATTCGCTGCAGGAAGAAGCGGCTGGGGGAGGGAGCCGCTGCAAGCGTCACCATTTTTCTCCCTCCCATCTCAGGCTGTGTGGATCCCTGGGAGCCAAAGGTGCTCCGTGCAGGCATGGGAGCTCACTTCCGTCTGCCCATCATCGCCAACCTGGACTGGGAATCTGTTCCCAGCAACCTTCCTGCTGGCATCCAGGTCTGCGTGGCTGACAACAAAGACCCCAGCGCTCAGGCTGAGACTGTGTCCGTGCCGAGAGGAGCTGGCACATCTCAGGCTGTGTGGATCCCTGGGAGCCAAAGGTGCTCCGTGCAGGCATGGGAGCTCACTTCCGTCTGCCCATCATCGCCAACCTGGACTGGGAATCTGTTCCCAGCAACCTTCCTGCTGGCATCCAGGTCTGCGTGGCTGACAACAAAGACCCCAGCGCTCAGGCTGAGACTGTGTCCGTGCCGAGAGGAGCTGGCAGGGCTGGCTCTGCTCCTGGCAGCCCAAAGGCTCCTGTGAAATCCAAACCCAAGGCTGCTCCTGAGGATGAGGAGGGAGCAGCGGGTGTCTGCATCCCAGACCTGGCCACGCAGTATTACTATGAGAACTGGACACAGACTCCAGTGGCAGGGGGGATCGGCGGAGAGACCCATGGTCTGAGTCCAGCCGCATTTCACCTCGCAGCCAGCACGGGGGGGAGGAGACTGGTCATTCCCGTGGTGCCAGGTGTGGACAGCTTGAACTCCGCTATCGCTGCTGGCATTGTGCTCTTTGAGGGGAAGAGACAGTTGCTGCGGAGGCACAAGCAGGCAGACGAAAGGCAGAAGGTCCCTGTAGTGGGCTGAACCACTGAGGTTTGGGCGCTGAAGTTTTGGGTGCATCTCTTTTCCCTTTGGCACACTGTAGAGCTAATAAAATTGCAGCTCAGGCTGTTTGGTTTGCAGTAAATGGGTATTAACCAGCTCTGGCAGTGTTGGAGCTGTGTCTGGACGAGTGCATGGCTCCCAGGCACTCTGGCCGCAAGGTGATGCTAGTGAGAAGGGAAGGGCCAGCGGGTGGGGGCCCTTGCCTTGCAGGCAGCCAGCTCTCTCTGCTGCCTGGCTTTTCCGCTCCCTCCTGTTGGCAGCCCTGGGCAGGGCCCCTCCAGGCCCACCCGTCTGACCTGGGGAGGGCTGGAATCTCTCCCTGAGGGGTCAGGGTGCGGCAGCGTTTGTGCTGGCCCAGCCAGGATGCTGCTGACGTGTGTCCTTCCTCTCACAGCCTGGGCTGTGTGGCTTGGCTGCCGCTAGTGGGTTTGGGGTCAGAAAGGCCAAATAGCGGCTACCTGAATAGGTCCTGCCTGTGCTTACCCAAAGCCCGTGCTCTAGCGAGCGATGAGAGCAGCACACCGACCCTGCCATGGGTGCCTGTCGCATGCCAGGCTGGTGCAGGGGCTGGCTGTGGTGTGGGGTGTCTGAGCTTTGGCACTCGTGACCCGTGCCGCTGCCCAGAGGTGGTGGTGTCTGTCCCCACGCAGCCGCCTGGGTCTGCTCGCTCTGGCAGCTGGGCCTCGGCGCAGATAAATTATTGATGAGGGAGGGGAAGGGTGGAAAAGGAGCTGTGGGCATTGCCGCTCGCTGTGGCCGTCCCTTGGAGGGGAACGGGCGCTGGGCTCCAGGGAAGGAGAGCCTGTCCACCCCTCCCCAAGGGTAACAAGCCGGCTCGCAACACCCCACCTCCACTGATCCAGGCTGTTCCACACAGCCCATGTCACACTGGAGGCTCCTGCCCAGGCTGCACAATGCTCTCCGCATTGCTGGCAGCTGCGTGTGGATGGATGGCTCCTGCGACAGCGCTGGCTGCCACCTGGCTTGCTGCGCATTTAAAAATGCCTCCTCTGCTCCGGCTGCGAGTCACACAACCAGCTACTTACCACCAGCCCACTCCACAGGCTCTAGTTTCCCATTACCATGTTGAAATCGTTTATATTGTCTGCTCGAGAAATACCCGGAAACAGAGATTTGGCCTCTTCCACACCCCAGCCCTTGCATCCGAGCAGGGTGCAGCGCTGCCCAGGCTGGGTGTGCAGCATGCTGTCAGGCAGCAGCATTACCTGGAGCATGAAACTGCTCCAGCCAAGCAATTCCATCTCCGGAGCCCAGTTCCAGCCCCAGTCTCATCAAATCGACTCCAAACAACTCAATTCTCAGGCAGAAAATTGCTGGTTTTCTCCAGTTCCTACCGAGCAGCTACCAAGGTGGCTGTGGCAGTGCTGAGCTCACTGCCTTGCTAAGGAGCCTGAACCACAGCGTCTGGAGGGGAATACAGATTCTCCTTCTCTAAAAAAAAAAAAAATCAGCCACTGCTGCATGATCAAATGCTACAGATACCCCATGGTCTTTCAAACCACAAACCCACTGCGATTGCACCCGCTGAGCACAGGCAGCTGGAGGCAACGCGGCTGCTCAGCCGCTTCCACCCAGCTTGAGCCCAGCCAGGCACAGCTCACTGCACGCGCCCTTAACCCTACGGTAGATAACTCACTGAAAAGGCTATTTCCTCAAAAATCTCCACTAAAGGGGATACAAGTTAATTTAGTATAGGGGTAGCTCACAGCCCAACGCCCAGGGAGACGCAGCAAGCTGCAGCTCCCAAGGCTGCTGTGCTGCTGCCCTCAAGTTCATACCAAGAGCCTCCGAAATGTGCAAAACACAGGGTGGATTTATACAGTTCCTGCCTTGCTGAGCTGGCGGCTTTTCCCAGCTCCTGCCCGGGTGGGTTGCTGCAGCAGCGATAAAAGGGGCGAGGCCAAAATCCTGCCATGGCTGACTAACGAGCTGAAAGGGAAAAGCGGTGGCTTGCACAACACCCGCTATTCAGCGCACACCTCCGGGACGCCACCCTCCCGGGGACGCTGGCGGAAACCATCGCAGCCACTGCTGTGTCCAGCAAGAGCCGGGGGGGACCATCGGCTGGGGGGGG